TCTTTGATGTGTTGTGAGTGTTTGCATATAATGGATCAAAGAATATAATTGTGGAAATATGTTTGAGATAATAATTGTAGAAATTAGGCATGTATGCTTAGGTAAGTATGGAAGTAGAAAAACACAATGTTTCTTTGACTCCAAAATAACCTTACCAATTTTTTTCAAGTTGATAAGTGAAGAGTTAAATTATTAAATTAACTATTAATAAAAATAAAATTTAGGTAATTATCTATAAGTATAAGGTAATTTTTTAGAAAAATAATCATAAGAATATTTTTTAGATAATAAATAAGGTTAGAATTAACTTATTAAATTTTAAAAAAATAATTGTTTGAAGTATAAATAATTTATATGTGAAAAATATTAAAATTATAGTAAATATTTGAGGGTATAATTATTTTGTTAGTTAAATTAAGTTTGAGGTATAATTATTTATTTAGGACATACAAAATTAATACAATATTCAGTATTTAATAACAATTTTATTATTATCATTATCCATAATATGATATAATTAATTAAAGTAAAATATTTTTTTCTACATAGAAACTATTCTTTCACCTAGAGAATGAAAACGAAGATTATATGGATTTAGACAACGAACAACAAATGAGTACTAATGTTCTGGGAATAGACATGAATAATATGTCATGCTCAAGAGCAAATACAAAAAAAAATGTGAAAGTTGGGGACTAACAATACTATGTAGTATTTATCATGTATTATGTACGCTAGATATGATGTCTACCACCAGCAATAACACTAACTTGTTAGGTCCTGAAAAAGATTGTTGGCGATCTGAGTTTATGTCGTATCTTGAGCATTCTGAATGGTGTTGAGATATTATTTGTATGAGACATGTGACCTTCATTAAATTGTGTCAACGATTAAGAACTACTGATATGGTCAAAGATGTGTATAGATCGACAGTAGAAGAACAAGTGACTAAAATTTTACACACCTTAGGACATAATTTTAAAAATCGAACTATGTCATTTTTCTTTCATTGATATGATGAAACTATCAGTCGAAATTTTTACAATGTGTTGAGTGTCATTATTAAATTAGAGAAAAAAAATTTGTTTAACCCTTGGGAAGAGAGGTACAATCACATAACAATCCTAGATTTTACTCATATTTTAAGGATTGTCTAGGGACGATTGATGAAACTCATGTTCGAGTTAAGGTATCATGATCGGATGCCCCCCGTTTTCATGTAGAAAAAATTGGCCAACTCAAAATATTTGTGCAGCTTGTGGTTTCGATATGAATTTACATATGTCCTAGCAGGATGAGAAAGAATTGGAACAGATCCTAGGATTTTAAAAGATGTCTTAACAAGAAAGGATCTACTGACAATACCTGAAGGTATGAAAAATTCACGAAGCTCAACATTTATTGACTGACATCACGGGTTAATTGGCATTACTAAGTATTTTTATTTTTTGTAGGCAAATATTACTTGGGAGATGCAGAGTTCATGTTGAAAGCCCAAAATAATACTCCATATTGAGGAATTAGGTACCACCTAAAAGAGTATTCATAAAGAGGTCTTCAAAACCCATGACAGTGGTTTAATCATCATCATTATGCATTAAAAAAATATATTGAGAGAACTTTTGGTGTTTTGAAAAAAAGATTCCATATTATAACAAGTGGTACGGAACCCAACTATTCTTTAGGAACATCGAGGAATATAGTATTGACATGTTGTATTTTGCACAATTTTCTATGTATTGTAGACAATGACAACTCGTTTGTAAATGAAGTGGATCAGGAGTTGTTGGAGCGACAAAATGATAGGTCTACAACACAAGTTCATGAGGATGATTATAGGAAAGGAGCTAACTTGAGGACATGATTGCAAATCAAATGTGGACTGACAATGAATAATAAAGTGACGTGCAATTTGTTTTGTTTCATTGTAATATTTGTGTTGTATGAGACAATGTATATTTTAATATATTGATCGATTCTATAATTAAGATATGTGGCATGGACAAAATTATACAATATTAACTCTAGTGAAATTCTCATTTTAACATTGATAACAAGTAGCATAAAATAGTTATTTGTTGGCTCCTAATGAATAGGGAAAAAGGGCATGTTGAAGCTAGTCAGGATAGGCGCGAATTTATAAAGTGGACTTAAGATATGGATATTCAAATGCTAACAACCATGATTGATGAGGCTCGAGCTGAGATTAGAATAGATGGAAGTTGGACACGTCAAGCATATACTTGTCGACATGTTACGACAGACAGGTTATACTGGAATCAACAAGAATAACGTAAAGAATAGATTGGAAAGTCTCAAATATCGATGGTGGAAAGTGCACAATTTGTTTAATGGCCTAAGTGGTTTTCCTTGGAATGAGACCACAAGCAAATATGAAGCTGAACTTAAAGTCTGCAATGACTTGATTCAGTTGTTACATTGAAGTATATATTTTAACATTTAATTGTAATAGTGAACGATGTAACTACTACCAAATGGCAAGTGACCCCAATTAAGTTTTACGACTTGTTGGAATAATTATGCGGAGCTTATCATACCACCGTCCACATGATAGAGACTGCACGCCAAGTTTGTAGACACAATTTTGATATTGATAGAATGATGTTATTTCTGGATTATGAATTTAATAGGATGCTAGTGAAGAAAAAAAAAATCTCGTAGATGCAAGGGTTTCATAGTGGACTTAGGCATTGATCTAAATGATGTTGCTTCAAATCCTTTTATGCACCATGAGTATACTCCAACATTTATTGAGATGCAGCCCAATCCACCTAGTATGGATTCATACAATCCAAGGGTGTCTCTCCATTTGTCCCTGCTTCTCCTTTTGCAGGAACGTCTTCATCTAAAGGCTTAAAACAAAAATTTAACAAGGTTAATGTAGACTTGAATGTGTAGTTGGAAAATATGATTACAGGGATACACCAAGTGGTGGATAGAATGGGGAAGAGTAAAGAATATTTTGCAAAATTAACAGAGGTGGTCGAGCATTGATGTGATCTTGTACAATGTTAGGTTATTGCGGTGAAGCGTCAAACCATGACCATGGAAAGACAAACTGACTTGATGAGTGAACAAATATGATTCAAAGCAGCTCTACAACATTGTAACATTATGTTAACGATATTTGACAACAGTATGTCAACTTAATTTGCATGACAATCAATTGATCTTATCATGCTATGAGTTTAACATTCTGCAGGAACCTCATCCATAGGGATATGATTTTTGGCACATCACCACACTTACGAATGAATTATTTGTTGAAGCACGTGACCGGTGGAGGATCGTCATAGTTCATTTATGATGTCACATATGTTTGATAATGTTGTTTTAAATATTTTACCTATGTTTGTTGGTATTATATTTTTTTCAAACAATGGCAAGTTGATGTATTGTGTCTATTGGGATTTGGTTTATGTTCTATGTTTATTGTTGTTGTTCAACCTATGACAACTTCATGTATTGCTGACAAAATGTTGTTGAATTGTTGTATTTATGTTTGATTGTCAAATTTAAGGTTTACTAATTTTATTTATGTTTTAATATGTTTATTTTCATGTATATTGGTGTTACTTACCTTTACAGGTTTGAATTATGTTTTCATTATCGTCAAAACCAAAGAGATTGAGTCATGCCTCAAAAAGTAAGGAGAAAAAGGCAGTAGAAGGTTTTACACCAACCCCTCCTCCTAACTTGCCTCATTTTCCAACTTTGTTAGAACATGGTCGTTACTTTTGCAGTAGAAGGTTTTTTGTTATGATCTAGTTCGAATTCCCGTAACACCTTTCTTTCAAGGGTTAGGCAAATTTCTAACTTTAATAGGTAGTATTTATGAAGACCTCATAAAAGTCTTTTACACAATTTTGAAATTGATTGCCTGATGAGCTAGTAACTGATGTGTAACAGATCCAAATTAGGATAAAACCTGATGATTGGCTAAATTTGACCTATTTAAAATATCATGGTCATTGGATTGATCTTGCTGACATATTTGAAGACCTGGGATATGATAGAGATGAAGCATTGACTATGATTGTTAGACCAGAAGGTACAAACTTGTAGGAATGTCGGTAGTTTAACTATAAAGGACAAACTTCTACATTATGTTTTTGTTCATATTCTGAGTCATCGAGAAGACAATTATGTTCAAGTCTTACAAGATGATATATATATATGATATGGTGCATAAAGAATCACATTCCAATTAATTGACCTCATTATATCATAAGACATGAAAAAATGTAAGGCTAAGGGTATGTCTTTACCTTATGATCTTTTAATCACACATATTCTACTGTTTTTTGGCTTGGATTTGACTTTACACTCAAGTCACTCCTTCAGTTGGACAAATAGATTTAATGAGAAATCTCTTAAAAATTTGAATGTCGTAAATATTGATGATGTATGACAACATGACAGGGGTCACCATGTCCAGCAAGATAACCCTTTCATTGAAGATGAATATGTGAGTGTTAAACAAGAATAATCATTTGCTCAAGGAAAACAAATATATCTTCCCCAGTTGATACCATAAACTTAATTTGATGAATTATTCACGATATAAAAAATGCGTGAGTAGATTTGAAGTCAAATATTAAAAATAATTATTAGAGTCTTCAAAGAGGAATTAATTATGTGCATCATAAAATTGATCAGGTTAATTTTATATTTATTACTAAATCTTTTTGTTCAAGTTTCACTTTATATGACTATAAATTTGTTCAGATGAATACACATTTAATATGGACATTATACTTTATTTCAACATTATTTAAACATTGTATTTTATGTGAAATCAAATTTATACAAATTTAAAAAACTTATAAATTATTATTAAGGTAATAAAGAAATAAATTTTACTCTGAAGCAAAACTATGAAGGAAAAGATGGAAACAGGATAAAAAAAGGAATTTTACTCAACCAATTAATACAGTCGCATAATAGACTAGCCATGCGTGTAACATGTTTGTCTCATCTCACTCTCTAATAAGACTTTTAATGCATGATTGTTGCTTGTGTTCTGGAGGAAGAGTTCTCCACCACTTCACCAAGGTAGAACCCTCCAAGAACACATCCTTAGCCAGTTCTCCTTTTTCATTCCATGCTTTTATCTGAGCCTCCAAACGCTCAACCCTTTCCTTAACACCTCTACATGAGGCACCACTGGTACCAGTTTTGTAGCGAAGTTCTTCCACCTCAGCCCAGAAGCAAGATGCTGAGTTGGGTTCTTGTGGCCTTCTTTCAGCATGTTCCAACCATCTTTGAGGATACCTATATCGTTTTGGCCTTCCCCTAGCCATGTAAGAAGAGGCATCATCCTCATAATGCCTCCCATGTCGGTAATAATTAGCAATGTCTAGTGGCTCCACTAGTTCTCTACACCTTGTTCCAAGATCAATCCATTCTCTCTTGGCTTCAAACTCATCTGGGAGTTCGTAACTTCTTAGCTTTTCAATGATCTCATCCCACACACCTGCTACTTCTAGCCGCGTCACATTTGCTTTGAAGTCCTCAGGTTTCTTATGCTCCCTGAAGCCATCGTAGAAACCTACTCTTTGGTGCTCCCACATTTCTCTGTATTCCCTTAGTTCCTTCGTTATTCTTTGCTCGACAAAAGCTTTCTTCTGCTTGAACTTTTCCTCGTTCTCAGACTTTCTTACCTCCAATTCAGCCGCTGCGCGAAGGCACAATCTTGCTCTTGGGCTCTGAAATTCAAAACAAACGAATTATCATATATATTCTGTAATTCCTTAGCTAGATCTACTTCAGAAAGCAAAATCCATACCCTAAAGAAATAGTTAAGAAAGTTAGTATTTTCGTTAGACTCATTTGTTATGGTATTATAAAAATTAAACTTTTAATAGAAATGCTTAATGGCATTATTAATATACTCATAACTCACATCAATTTCTACACAAACACAATTGTAAATTAGTATAGAAAATTTATGTATCATAAACATAAACCCAGTAATCTATATGAATATCATAATTTTCATTAGGCAAAAGTATACTAATGTCTTCACGATTAACTTTTTTGCTGGAGTATCATTGTTCAACAAAACCAAATTTGGATGGATAAGAAACATATATAACTAGGATTTTATCCTATGATCTTATTACAATGTATAGCACATAACTCCAATAATTGATATAATGCAGAATAATTTACTTACCAGACCAAGGTCAGTTAAGGCCGTGTTAATGGTTGCATTTGAGCCACCAGCACCATCTTCAGACAAAGCGAGCTTCTGGAGCTGTTGTTGATCTAAGTGCACAACATTCTGTGCTGCAATTTGTTGCAGTTCGGTGCCATAAATTTTATGTTCTGTCAGGCTTCTGTAGGGAACTTGAGCAGCTTCTGCTTCAGTGCTTAATTGAGAAGAGAAAAACAGGACTTGTAGAACTGCATTTGGGTTTGTTATCACAATTTTCTTCCCTAACTTTCCATTTCCTGTGCAGAAAAAGTAAGTTCCAAAGGGTCTATAAGGGCTTAAGGGAATAAAATTTGCCAGAGTTTCCCATGTGCTATCTGTGCTGCCCATTAGCTTAGCAGCAGCATGACTTGTGACAGTTGCAGCATTTGACATTATGGTAAAGTAGAAATCTGATGTTGTAGTCGCACTGGCTCTTCCCACTGAGTCGCTCATGAAAGACCTGGATCTGGGGTTGAAGGATTGTGAAATTTGTTCAAATGATTGGTCAAGGGAAGAGAGTGGAGCAAAGAGGATACGTGGCACTATGTCATATCTCATCACATAGTGAAAGAAGTATTTAGACCAATTTTCTCTCCTTGTGGCATGGGAAAATATGTGATTCCCAACTAAGGGTGAACCAAAGGTTACACAGAGGGGAGGGATACCCCCATGGGATTTTGGAGTTTTGTATTTTTCTAAGGTCCAGAGGGTTGCCAGAATTGCCACTGCACCGCCAGAAGAGTGTCCAGCAAACACTATTTGCTTCTTTTTACTTGTAGCTTCCTCTATCTGCAGAAATGTCGTTTGATGCGAAGTAATTTGAAAGAAAAGTGATAAGTTAGAAGTTAGACAAATTAATAGTGTGTTTAGTTCCAATCTTAGAATGATTTTTCAAATTTGAGGTGTGAAAGCAAAAGACTAATAATTATAGTTTGCACATTTCAAACTTGATTCATTCCTTCACAGCAGATTCCCAAACAAGTTATAAGTTTGGCATATCTTGACCATACATGAATGAATGAATTAGAACAAAAGTGAGATACCAATAGAACTGTAACACCTCATTATTACTACAGCATAATATGGTACTATCAGAGATTTAAAGTTAATTTTACTGTTTTTTTTCTTTACTAACAGTATAGTTGAATAATTTTCTATTTAATGAACCTCTTTCTTTCTCTCTTTAGGTGTCCTAATTTATTTAATTGTAGATCCAAAAAAGTATTTGTAGCAACTTTCTACTAATTAACATTTTCCTTTCCTTAAATAAAGGGAAACTAATAGTCGACAAAAAAATATCAGTTAATATAGATCATTTGGGACAGTGGAAACTCAAAAAACACAAGAAAAACCAAAAGTGATGTTTGCAAAACTAAATCATAATGGATAAGAGAGTTGTTATTATCATACAACACCTTATCTGCAAGTGATGGTCTAGCCAACAAAATGTCTTGGAATCTTTTTGAGAAGGCTTCGTTGACCAAAGCAGGTTCATCGTTACCAATGCTTCTGAGTGAGGGAAAGAGGCGAAGATCTATTTTGGTTTCACCAAAGTTTCTCTGAGAGTACCAATCCTTGACAGCATCTGATCCAGGAAAACAGATGATAACTTCTGAAGCCTCGTTTCTGCTGATCTTTTCAACAAGGTAAGGTCTGTCTGGTGACTTGTGAGCTTTCCAAGACGCAGCATAAGCCTTCTCAATCACCTCTGCCCTCATTTCTATTCTCTATAATTGCTTCTCACCCTACTTGAGAGAAGGTTTGAAGTTTGATCAATGCTTAGCCATCAAGTAGAGATGGTTCTTTTTTATCAGGTGGGATCAAGACCACCATTGAGGCGTTGACATTGACTTAAACCTCCACCGTTCAATGAACAAGATGATGAGGTCACGAAGCCGTGTTGAACAAGTGTATGTAAATAGTTCTTTAATTCCTTAAAAACATTCAACCGTAGGGCATGTGATCCCGTAAGGGATTCCCAAATAAACTAATGATTTGTTCACGAATCCGTGTTGAACATGCGTATGAATGTTGTGTAGCATTGTCAAACAGTTTCTCACACCAACCTCGAAACTCCTAGGATTCCTTTTAGCATGATGTTTTTCGTACTTGAGATTCATCACAAATAATAGGGACCCTTTTCAATCTTAGTACTGTATTTGATTCACTATCATCACAATCTCAATAAATTTTCATGTCGTATGGAATCAGATTTTGTTAACTTTTTTCTCATAAATTGAAAATTGTAATAACATATTATTAATATTGATTGGGATTTCATCAACACATGATACTCTTATACATTAAAAATATTCAAACACATTTTCAGTCTCATTCTGTTGAAAATTATTTAAGAAAAAAAAAACAGATTTATTCAAGTCTTTCTTCTTATTTAAAGAGTTTTACTTGTAGTTTTATGAGAAAAAAAATGCCAATAGAATGTGTTAGAAATGTATTAATACCTTCCTTTTTAACGTGTTTTTTTATTGAATGAATGTCTCGTTAAAAAAAAACTATTTTTGGAAAAAAAAAAAACATGTCCTAATGGCATAATTCATGATATATTAAACAGAAGTAGAAGTTTATTGGACAATTTCCTTATATTAAAAGATTAAAATACATTTAATTTCATCTTTTAATTAAAATTGCTTTATTATTACAGTATTTATTTGAAAAAAGTAATTCAAAGTTATTAAATTTTAATTTTATTCTTATTAATAATATTTAACGATTTAAAATTTTCAGTGGTAGTTCTGGTCCACGTTAGTTGGCTGAAAATAAATTATTTCTAATCTAAACAACTATCACTAACAAGTAACTTAACCATGTGTTTATTTTAGTAATCCAAGAAAATTAAATTGAAATATTAAAAAATTGGATTACATGCAATTAAAATTTCTTGTTTAGATAATTTAAATTCTTTAAATTTCAATTTTCTTTGATAGAATAATTCAAATTTTATTTAAAGTAAAACTGTATTTTCAAAAGTTAAAATTTAGCATTAAATCCCATAAAAATAAACATTAATATTTTTTAAAATAATTATAAATACATGCGCATATATATATATATATATATATATATATATATTCCATTGCTAATATTAGTTTATTTAAAATTGTTGTTTAAGAAAAATACATTATTACACTAAATTGCCGCATCCAAAAAACTTTGTTAGTATTTTTTAGCACGTGGGTTTTCTTTTTGGATTTTTCTGTTTGTCTCTTATCAATTTGGGAATTTTAATCTTGAAAGCATGTCCAAACAGTTTGAAATCACTGTCGCCGATGATAACTTCGATAGTTGTTGGATAAGACTTGTCCCATTAATTAATAATCTAAAGCCTTTAACAACATTGTTATTTGATTTGAACATTACAAAGTTTTTTCTAACTTTTTGATCATTTTTTATTACGGAGACATTGTGTTGCCGGCCAGAAAATGAAAATATGAGCATTATAAAATATTCATTATTATGACTTCGGATATGATGTGAAAATTTGTATCTATATTTTTATTTATAAACATTAACCTTAAATGGGAAGTGCCTTACCATAAATTGTACTAGATATTCATGAAGAGATCAATTTATTTGTACGTGAAATGAGGTGAAGTGAAAAAATTTTATGTGCGATAATTCATTTCTCCTAACAATCAATTTGATCAAGCCAATTAGCATAATAATGAGCCTAGTGTTATAGCAATTCCATACAACCAAAATAGAAACAAGATTAATGTGAAGATGAAGAAATTTCTTAGTTATTCTTTGTCAAGACTAATACCCTCAATTTCAATTGGACCAAAATCACCATTCTAACAAGCTTATTGAAGTATAATCATTTAGTCATATCTTTTGTACAGCTTCGAAATCCATCAAAGTTAAAGATTTTATATACCAAATCTATGATCGACAAGGGAACACCACTGAACATTTTACTGAACCAAATTGATATAAACTCAAATCCAGCTTCAGAAATCATCTTCTGATTGGCTAGAAGATGAAGTTTCTGAAACATTGGACAGAAAATACAAATCGAAGTTAGGGAATCTCAGTGGTGCCCTCTTTGATGGTGACAAAGGTGGTGTTGTTGAGGCAGCTTCTCCTCCCAAATTCTTCTTTTCTACCTTCCTTTTTAGTTCTATGCAAGCCTGATCTACCATGTCAACAAAATTCTTTACAATATCAAACAGTTGAAAGGGGTTTACCATGTTGTCTTTGGATGCTCCTGCTAGATAGTAATCGTTTGTTTTTTTCACAAGCTCCATGATCCTTGTCTGCTCCTCTTTCACCACCTCAAGTTCTCCCTCACATTCCTCTAGGAACCCTTTCATTTCGTTGATAAATCCACCACTCCTGGTATTGCCACAACATGTTATAATCTGTTTAATTTCACTAGCATGAGCATTGAGAGCGGTACACATTGTGATGAAATTGTGATACTCAATACTGGCTGCTTTCTTTGCTTCAGATAACTCATCTCTTAGCCCACCTAGCACTTGCAGACCAAGCATTGTGTATTCTTTATCTGCCTCTTGTTGTGTCAGGCTATATGAATAAGGTTTTTTTACATTGCTTGTTTCAACATTGCTCATGTGAAGTTTGTGCTTTTGATAGAGAACTTGTCTTCTTCCTTCTGACTGAACCACTTGTTCTACTATAAAATGAAGCAAGCTAGTCTTCCCATCTGTGCTTTTCACATCAGAAAGTTTTCTAAGAGCACTGAGGTTGAAACCTTGTGCATTGCCTCTTGAGGTTCCAGCATTCATCCGGTTCCCAGCCTTGAGAATGGCTTCAAGGAGTTTCAGAAACAGACCACTAGTTCTCAGTTCCTTGCAACCCATTTCAAGTGTTTGTAGCTGTTCCTTGTGCTGAAGAACTTCACAATCATAACTCGACCTGAACAGCATTGCTTTCAAACGGTTGAATGCTGTTGGAACTGCTGTAAGGATGTAGTACAGGAAAGACTCAGCATCAGCGAGCTGATCCGGGTTGCCACTGAATTGGATGATTTTGGCTTCCTCTTCTTGGGTTGGAGCTATTTTAGTGAGTCTTTCAAGTGTCTCAACACTTAGACCCTGACCATCAAGAACTGCATCCAAGATTCCCTTGCGAGAAATGGCAAGTGATCTTAGCACAATTGCAGTGTTTTGAGATTTCCTTGGGTCAAGAATAAATATTTGAGCTGGTGCATTGGAATTGGACTTAGCCATAGTGGAAAGAATTCTGTTTCTTTCTTGCGTTTTATAGCTACTTGAATATCCAAAGAGTGATTCCATTAGTTCATCATCAAACCTGTAAAAAGGGGAAGAACTTCTTGTGAAATTGAAAGCGGAGTGATATAAACACTGAGTTACATGATAATGTCATAAATTATAACAAAATTAAGACCACAATTTAAAATCTTTAAAACATTTACTAGTGAAATTAAGAATTAGGAGGATTTACCGGAAAGAGCCATCATTGATCTGATCCCACACTGTTGAATGATCAACATTTGCTACAACCTTGTCCCAGTGTAGAGGCTTCAGTCTTGTCTGACCAACACCCTTCTCTCTTGAACTCTCCCCTGTCATACCCTCTTTAGTGCTCCTTATGTTTGTTTTCCCTTTGGGTGAAGGTGGGGGTTTCAGTGATGAAATGAAGCCACTGGCCTTTGGAAGAGGAGGTGGACCAGGTGGTGGTGGTGGAGGACGAGTTGGAGGAGGAGGAGGTGGTGGTGGTTGGGTTTTCTTGTTCTCAATTATGATTGGTGGAGATTGTGGTGGTGGTTGGAGTGGAGGTGCTAGCTGAGGTGATTGTGGCAAGTTCTGTCTTGGTGTTAGTGATGTTGAAAATGATGGTGTGTGTGATTCTGGCTTAACTTGATTCTCTTGACCAACCAAGCTTGGAGATTCACATGCCTGTGGAATTTCAGGCTTGGATACTTTGGACCTTTGGACCATTATATCTATTCTCTTTTCTTCTTCATCATGTTCATAACTTGGATTAAGTATACTATTTTGGAATCCAGTTATCAATGGTCTTCTTTCTGTGTCCATCACATAAAGAACATCAACCCCATTTTCTTCAACAATTAATCCCTTCACATTGCCACCAACTTTGTTTATATACTCAAGGTTCACTCCAGATTCTCGAAGCAAACTTGCTCCAATTTTGTGTCTCTGGTGGTATCTAGCAAGCACAAATTTGTGAAAAAAGTAAACAAAAACAGCTGCAAAGAGTAACATAGCCCCAGCTGTGGCAACCACAGCCTTTTCAATTGCATGACTGGAGGCTGACATTGATATATTTTCAGATAGGAATATGAACACCCAAGTTTTTTATAATCTTGAGCTGATCATAGAATGAGATATACCAGAAAACTAAGAATGAGTATGGTCTGGTTGAAGAACTGTAGGAAAGTGCAGAGACCAGAATTGAAGAATAGTAAGATGACAAGAAAAGAAAAGTAAAATTGCAGTCACGAAATAACACTTGTGTAGTATGTTTTCAATTTTCTTGGTCGCGGTTGTTGATATTTTCAATGAGGTAGTTGTCATTGGTGCCATGTCAGTAGGAGCTTAAATTGGTAGTAAAGGCCGATTCCAAATTGATGACCAATCAAATTGCACATAAGACGGCCAAAGTTTAGATGGGTAGCATAAATTAAAATCATTTCATCAATTTTTTTACAGAATTTACTTTCGCATGTTTTTTTATAGTGAGTAGATCATGGAACCTATGTCTTTTTTTCAGAATATACTCCTGTTATTTGAATTTAATCAAACATAACCTCCACATTTTTCCTCTCATTTTCTTCCTTTTTATAACATATTTGTTGGATGATTATTATTTATTTTTATTAAAAAATCTTATTCAAGTTACACTTCCTTTGTCTTCATATTTCAGATCTTCCTGAGAGGTTACAAATCTACTCAACCTTTACTTTTAAGACTTAACATTCGAAGGACTATAAATAATTCCATCCGATATACTTAAAAATATATGTTTTTTTTTTGTTTTAGTCCCTTTAATAAATATTAATGTCTTTTAATTCGCATACATATCATTTAATCCATACATCTAAATAAAAAAATAAAAAAGGAAAACTAAAAAACTAAAAGAAGACTAAAGGAAATTAAAAGTAGCATATACAAGGACTAAACAGATTATTTTTAAGTGTAAGGATTCAAATTTTGTTTAGCTATAAACACAAAACTATGAATATAGTATTGATGATGTTGTGTCTTGGAACATTTTCTTTTTCTTTAACGTATGAATATTGTTGACAAACATATGTGTATGAATGTGACAAACATCAAATTTTATACACAACTTTATTTATGAAACATTTTAAATGTGACATACACTAAAATTGAAAGTTGTTTTAAATGTGCAACTTTAATTATTTTTATCATTTTAATTTTCAATTTTTTATGGCAAAATTTAGTATAAAGTTTTTCGTTAATTTTTATAATTCTTTATTTCATTACTAAAATAATTTAGAGAAAAAGCTGCTTAGATTTCAAAAAGGTAAAAATAAATAGTATTATAATAAAACTCAACCAAAATATATAAAAATGTATTATAAAAATATATAATAAATTTGGAGTAAGTTTGATCTTTCAAATTCCAAACGAACTAAGAAAAAAAATTTAGTCCTTTTAACCAAACAACATATCCCCAAATGCTTTTGGCAATAAAATATGTGATATTAAAAATACAAAATCAAAATGGATCGTAATGAAAAAAATAAAAACTTTTAAGCAGAATTTTTAATGATATTTGAACCAAATATTAAAATTAAAAAATATATATATATGGAATAATAGTGTGTAATACTCAAGTTTATTAGCATCGTATTATAATAATAGCTATATAAATTATTCTTAGTTTTAATTCTTAATTTTAATGATATTTAAATACAGAAATTAAAATGTTTTTTAAAAGATAATTTTTTTTATTTAAAAACAATAGTGTTTTATATTTAAGTACGTTATAATAATATTATTATGATAAATTATTATTATTGAGGTACTATCCACTTCTAAACTTTAGTTAATCATTGTTTTATTTTTAAAATGTGTTATGATGGGTTAAGAAAAAATTATATATATAAATTACTTTTAACTTCAACTCTTAACAATATAGGATTTATGACCATACTTGAAACATAATTCTCGATCGAGAACTAAAAGATAGAAAAGAACATGAGACTTTAGTCTCAACCTTACAGTGAGTATCAATATGTTATAGCAACAAAGTCTTAATAGACCTTTATCAAACCTTAAACGAAATCTTGTTCAAAAATATATCTATTTGTCAAAGGTATTGTATGTACCTTTTACATATCTACCTCTACCAATACTCATGGATATTTATTATAGTTGTTAATAGTTGTTAAAGCAGGCTACTTGACCTAACTTGGTATGGTCTTACGAGTAAAATAAAAAAATTGATGATCCAACATAATTTATATTTAAAAATGAATAATATTTTTTAGTCTAACATGACTCTATATTAGGTTAATAGATTAACAAACCAATTTTAGTTTGATTTAAAATTTAAAAAAAATATTAATATATTTATATCAAAATAATTAATTAAAAATATAGATAAAATAAAAATATATTTTAAAATTTAAATTATATTATTAAAATTAGTTTTTATTTAAGATTTAATAATTTAATATATAAATTATAAAATAATAAATTTATTATTTCTTAAAATAAGAATTAAAAATTTATTTTTTATTATCATCATTCAATTTTTTTAATAATTTATTAATTTAAAATAATAATTAATCTTATCTATTAGATCTTGAAATATATGATTATTAGACTCTAATATATATTTACTCTTAAAATAAGTAAATTCATTAGTAAATTAGTTTATAATACATATATATTTTTTAATAAAATAATATTATTTTTATTTTAAAAAATAATTATTATTTTATAAAATGAATTAATATATAAACTTACTAACTTTAAATCAAAATAAATCTAATTTAATTTAGATCATAAATTTTTTTATCTAACCTAACATATTTTTTAAACCTTTAAATTAATTTACCTATAAGATAAAAATTATTTTGACAGTTCTAATCTTCACCAATAATTTTTAAGATTAAATATCATTTTATTAATAAATAATAAAAAGGTGATAGAATATAAAAAATGCGAGAATATTAAATACTTTTTATTGAATATATATTAATAATTTGTTTTAATATTTATTAAAAAATATTAAATAAAATGATATTATAAATATATAATTAAATATATATAATAATAATAATTTAATTTAAAAAATTATAAATATATAAATAAATATATCTAATAACTATTAAATTAAAAGAGTGAAAAAGACCATATGGTGAATTAACAACTAACCCGAGGTCATATATTTGTCATAGTCTCAAATGCTAGCTAACTTTTCTATAAATACACGTGTTTTACGGAGGGTTTTAGGTCATGTAATCATGGGTTTTCGGTTATGGTGCTCACTGACAGTGTTTTACGACAGATAAGGCTATCTTAATGAGATAATTACTTACATTACAGAGTAAAAAAAATGCTAAAACTTATTTAAGTTAAGAACGTTAAGAGAGATGGGAATATTAAGTCAGTAGTTTACCGAAATAATAAGTTGAATTAAAATTTAGAAAGTAAAAATAAAAATAATTGAATTTTAAAGAAATAAAAACATAGGTTGGAGATGCTGGTGACAAACTCTAGACAAGTTACAGATCCTTGAGACATGGAATCCAGCCTTCGGACCTAGTCGTTTCTCGGAATGACAACAATTGTATTAATATTCTTTATCTTATTAGCACAACACACAGGGTCTCCATTGGCATATGGTGAAAGGATGGTTTGAAGAGTGCAACAACCCCTTCAACCTTCCATTAAACAAATAATGGGGAGTGATAAATGCTCCCTCTGTTGACGGTGGATGCAACGGTTGTGCCGTCCCACCTCCAATTTTATGGCAGTTGTTAATTCCACACATAATTGACCTTCTTCTTAAATATAATATTAAATGTTTCTGTGCTGTGTCTTGCTTGCCGTCTCTGAAAACGGTTCCTTCTCAGACATCATCAACCTTCCTCCAGCTGTTGCACTCAGGAAAGGTTGTCGGAATCTCAGCTTCAAGGGCTCCAATGCTTCTTATTTATTGTTCTTCAACTTTTGCTTGGTCCTTGTGCCTCAAAATGCTTACCAATTGCTCATCTTGCTTAAAGGGTTTTGTCTTGTTCTCTCTCTGGTAGATGCAACCTAGTTATTATGGTCTTACTGTTATCTTGCATGAATCACGCTGGTTTCTTAAATTCTCAATGAAAACTATCACGGGATTTGGACTCGCATTATTCCAAAAATTATATCACATCTTTATCCTTTATCCAATCTCAAAAGACCCTCTTAACTCTCTCAATTTCAGACTCCAAAATTGTCTACCATCAACTCCTTAATTCTATATTTTTCTTTGACAATGTCATTTTTGAAACATTTTTTATTTAATTGTTATATTAATTATTCTTTTGTCATTTATATTCTTATTTTTCATTTACTTTTTAATTATTTTATATATATATATATACATATATATTGGGATGTAGAAATAAATAAATAAAAAGGTAAAACAAAGAACTTATAAATATTTTATTAAAATTAAAAATATATATATATTACAATCTTTGTTTCTCCACGGAATCTTTAAACACACTTAAAAAAACTGAGAAAACTCATTTACACCATATTAGATAAAACCCAAACAATCCACTTGAGAAAACAACTAGTCATATTTAAATGTTAAAATATGAAAAAAAAAATCCTAATATTGTGTAGTTTAATAATCAGGGGTTTTTTATTCGTCATTAAGATTTTCTGATTGTGATACGGGAGACTGTAAATATAATATGGAAAGACAACTCAAATGTTACCAAAAAGGTTAATTTAACATTGAAAGACTTTTCTTTTCATAACAATAATATGTAATCAAATTCAGAAAAAACTAATATTAGTTTATTATATGACTAATTTTGAGAAGAATAAAGTAGCATGTCATATTAATTTATTATACTCTTGGCCTTATAAGCCTAGGGGAAGTGGAAACTTTGTTATCAGTGCAAAACTTTTGGTGCTTGATAACAAACAACTACAGTAAATATACATTGGTATTTGCCCATGGTTGGAGCCAACAGGAACTTCCTCAATTATTATAATATAATCTTTATTGTTCCACCAATTCTGCAGACGATTGTGGAGAAGAAAAAAAGTTTGACCATGTTCACTCGACAGTACTGGCATCTCTGCTTTTAGATTTGTGAGTTTATTCAGATAAAGATTCAACAGAAACAGTATCTGTGATGAACAACTCAACAGTGTTAAAATAATGTTCACACAAATTAGTTCTTGATATCAGTTTTAGAATAGTAGTTGGACCATTAAAAAACTAAAACTTTTGTTAATTTTACTCTGATTTATAACAACCTGTTTTGGTTTTCACTTATCTATTCATACATTTTTAGTGATTATAAATTATTAATAAGAAATTAACATCTTCCATCATAATGCACGTTGTATGCTGTTAGTTACACATTCATGACGTGCCATGTCTCAAATAAGTTCAACCTTCATTTTCCTTTGAGATGAGACAATTTCACGTTCACTTGCTGATTGTTGCATGTTTATTTGCTGTACTTCCTATTCCCCATTGGGTGTGTAAATGCCTTGTCGGATGATGTAGAAGTGTTCTTAAGAAGAAGTCAGAAAGCCATGGGATTAAAGCTAGAATTGTGAGACAAATCATGTACTTCAAACCATAGATGGTGTTTCTTGTTCATGACAGAAAGTGGGAACAAAATTGTATCCAACATTAGAATGCTGGGCAAGGCAGAGGCATAGGCTTGTTGTGTGTTTCATCATGCATAGTGAAGGATTGGACGCGTTAACTCTGAAAAAAATGAACTATTTTTCTGCATCTTTTTTAGTGTTTTGGTGCACGTTGTTCATGTAACTTTTCATCTTTTAAGCAAAGTTAACAATCTTCACTTTTTAATGGGTGTGTCCAAATATGACTTCAAAGGTTTGCGTCCAAATTTGCATAAACGCGTGTAATAAATCCAGGACCAAAAAACACTTGAGTCTATCTCCATTGTTCACACCTGTAAAAGTTTTTGGCAAAATATACGTTTAACATGAGAGTGATATTTAGAAGACAAAGAATTTGATTTCCGAATGTATATGACAATTTTATGTTAATTATTTAATTTTAATAAACTAAACATTTTGAAAATAATTTTCATTGTTCATGTTTATTTTATTTTTAGATAAATTTGTACATGTTATTAATAAAACATCATTCAATCCTAGTATGATAATGATAAAAATTGAGTTTACACTTTTGATCTTGAGGATAAAATTAAGATTAGATATTTGATAAAAGCAAAAAAAAAAAAATTAACCTACATTGGGTAGAATTCATTATACTATTTTTTTAATATATCTATATTCATATATTCTAATTCTTCTATATATATTTTTCTATTCCTCTTGGACTAAATACTTTTAATTTTTACTTGTTTTTCTTTATCTTTTTCTTCTTTAATAACTTATTTTCATCTAACTATTTTGCCTGCTTGTTAAGTGACGTATCAGTATCTTTATATGTTATTTTTCTTTTCTTTTACTTTTGGTCCCTCTACATTTTACATTTTGCGCGTGATAATCAATAATTTTTGTTTCTCATTTTTGTATCTAATAAATAATTTTTATTTTGGTCCACTTTTGTTAATTAAAGGAAAAAAAGAACTATTGTGTTTATATTATCAATTCCTTTCCCATCATGTTTGCATCTGATGTTTCTTTTAATCTTCCCCTTTTGCATTTTTTTTCTCAATTTTTCATCTTTTTTATGTTTCTTCGTCAAATAGAGAAATGCTTCATCGTAGTGCATAAATTGTACATGCAAAATTCATAAAAAGAAATAAAACTCTACAGTAGAGACAGTAAAAAAAACTGAAGTAAAACCCCTCCAAATAGAGGGCTTCGTTAATTTTTAATGAACTTTTTTTCTGTACAGCAAAAAATTGTAAGCGGCCAAATGAAAAGCAGAGTGATTCAGTCATCCTCTTACACTCATTCCTAATCCTAGTACTCATTGTCAGCAATGTGTTTGTCTAAATGCAAATAACATCAAAGGCTTTTGAATATGAACAATGGTTTTGGCAAAATTGGAGGAGACATAAACACCACTGCTCTTTCTATATGCTCAATCTGGACTTCTTTGAGTGCAATGCAGAAGGTGATGGAGGGGTGCAATCATCTGATCTTCTTCTCTTGTGAGATTTTTCTACTCCTTTCTTCCCTTCACCTCTCATGATGAAATCTGTCACGCGTTTTACATCTGACAACTTCACAGGTTTCAACAGAAACTCTTCTGCTCCCTCCTCCAAACAACTGTCGATCACAAAAGTAAACAATCAATAAATGAATCTACAACTCAAATATAGAACTTGGTTCAAATGTTTATGAGGAACATAAACTAATGGTATTCCATGTATGAATGCAAGCATTGTAGAAGTTAATGATAAGATTATAATTATGTGGCAATTATAAAGACAATAATTGCCACTGTGCGCCAACAGGGGCCTTGTGCAACCAGTTGACAATTAGGCAAGAGGGAATCTAGATTTCATCTTGCTTCAATCATTGTAGCCAAAGATTGAAACATGTTCTCAAAACCTCCTCCATGTGACTAACATGTTAAGATTATTGATTGGGTAAATACGAATTTTACTGGAACCAGCCTGGAATGGGAAAGTATGGGATCTAATACAACAATAATAGCTTTATCCCACAAGTGAGATTCGTTATATGCAACACACTATGCTGCTAGTCTATGTCAAAAAACAGATTCTCATACCATGAGATCCCCTTCTCCAATATCCAGCTTAATCTTCTTAATCACTTTTTAACATGGCTAACAAATATTGCAAGGAGATCTTAATCATATCAAATTCATGTCTTTCACAAATGCGGTACGAGTTTAGATGGGAATCATCAGAAACAAGGGCTCCAGATGCAGCAATGTGATACTCCCGAATTATCTTAATTCGTAAGCTCATCAAAGCATTAGCATGAGTAAATCAACAAACAACATCCAAAACAAAAGACCTTTACCACATAAATCAATAAAATGTTGAAGAATTAATCCAGAAAAACAAAGGTTCCTAAAACCACATAAGAACTGAACAGCATCCTGTTTTAATGAAGAGCTCACCTATCAATTCGGGTCAATATATTCTCAGACGACATAACCACCACTGGAACCTCTCTAAAAACAGATGATTCCTGCAGAATTAACAGAGAGAATTAAAATCCAAGCAGAAAATGGGAAAATCCACAACCATTCATAAATAATTTTCCCTTCTTGTTCATTCATCTTCGACAAGAAATTTAGATTAAACAACAAAGACCATTCTCATTTCTCACCTTTATCTTCTTGAGCAGTTCATATCCTGTCATCCCCGGCATGGAGTAATCTGTCATTATCAAATTAACCTTGACCGTCTGTCACAACAGTCATCAAACAACAATATAAGCATCACTTCCAAGTAAACACTAACAAGCACAAGTTATTCAAAAGCCAAATATGCTTACATCAAAACCAATAGAGCTTTTCTCTCCATCCAATCCCAGATACTGCAGAGCGCGGCTTCCACTTTCCACCACCGTCACTGCAACACCCAGTTCCAATAACATCAGAACCCAGTCCAAGTGAAATAAAACCAACAAAAAGTGCCCCAAAACCGAAATAGTCTAGTTCATAAAACACCCTTTTCGAATACTATTTACTTTTTCATGGATCAGAACAAAAAGCACACAAAAGCACGAAAAATCTGCATCTTCAGTCCTATACCTTTGCAAGACGAGATTTTGAGCAACCGTTCAATGACCTTGCGGTCCACGTGGCTGTCATCAACAGCAAGCACATGCAGCTTCCCGGCACCCACTTCCGGCAAGCCCTGCCTGAAAACATCACCGGCGGCAGCCATCGTAGAATTGAATAAATTAACGAGAAGAACGATGATGCAGTGATTGAAGAAAAAATGGGCAGAAGAATCGTATGGTATAAAAATAGAGGAAAGCTAAGAAGGAAGAGAGAGGTGGTTATGCTTTATAATGAATGGTGATCGTAGGAGAAAAGGGTTACGAATAATAATAATAATAATATAATAATATGAAAATGAAAAAGGAGGGAGATTCGGAGGATCCAAATCTGAGAGATCTTGTTTGTTGTTTTTGGAAATGAAGCAGAGAGGATTATCCCACCTGCACTTGTCGCTTCTCCTGTCACAATCATACTTTTATTATTAATAGTAACGTTGTTGATGGTCAGACACGACCAAACGTATCTTGTTCGGGTCCACCTTTCACTCTCTTCTTTCCAAACCCATCTTCTTTGACTTTCACACAGTTCACATTTTTTGAACCAAATCAAATCTCCCTTCAATGAAGTTGCCTTGCGTTGCATTGCATCACGCGTACCCAGTTGGATCCGATCAACCTTTTTACTTCTTACGTTCACGATTTGGTGGAATTCGCGTTCGCCAATTAATTTTCAATTATTACACATGATTGCCGCAGATTTTTTTAATTGATATAGATTACATGCTTTAATTAAAAAAAAAATCAGAGGATTGATTTCTTAGCTTTTGGATAAACAAAACAACACGGTTGAATCTTTTCTTTCTTTCTTTCATTTAGGTTAAATTATTGGATTTGGATTCTCTTTTTAAATATTAAATCAACTGCACCCTCTGCAGTTTTCATTTAATCATTAAAGTGGATAAATTATTATTATAAAAATAAATTTGTTATATAATAAAATTAAACATATAATTGAGATTATGGAATAACAAATCTTTTGAATTAAACTTTATAAAAACTTAATTAAACTTTTAAAATAATTTGGTTAAACTGAATTGTATAAGTAGAAGGAGTTTAAGGGGAACTGAATCCAACTATTTTGAAAGAAAAAGCTCGGTTGTAGAACGGGTGCCTCATCCCATTTTCACGTGTCCCTTCCATCAAAAATAATAAAATCAGACGAACTAATCTTTCATAATTAGAACCAACTATATATCTTAATCCGTTTTGTTAAAAGTTTCCAGATAAGTAGATTAAATAATAATTTTTTTTATAAAATTTTGTTTTATGTATTTTTCAAAATATATCTTTAATTATTATATTTTTTTAAGTTTTATTTGTTAATTAATATTTGTATTAAATAAATTAAAAATATTATTATATTTATATATTAAAATAATTATTTTTAATTTATTTTTAATTTATTTTTAATTAGTTATTATTTATAATTTAAATTATAATATTATATTATATTTTTATTTTTAATATTATAAATAAAAATATAATATTTTTTATTTTAATTTAATATATAAATATATTTTAAAAATGGATCAATAAATCTTTTTTTTCTTAACCAGATTAGCATATTAAGTAGAACAGGTTGAAATAAATTGAAAATTTAAAATTACTAATCATCTCACAATCTTAAGTGGAGTGTGGTAAGGATCAAATAACCGATAAAATTAAGATTTATTAAATCGCTACTCCAATCCATTTAAAAAATAATATGATGAATGGATAGTTTTAGTTTATTAACTAGTTTTATTCTAATCTATCAACTCAACAAGTCACGAAAGAATTAATTTATTGACCCAATTTTTAAAAATATTTATATATTAAATTAAAAATATTATATTTTATATCATGTTATTGAATATTATGATTTAAATTATAAAAATTAATTAATTGATTTTAAATTATTAATTATAATAAATTTATTTAATACATAAATATAACCATAATTTTAATTTATTTAATAAAAAATAAAATTAATAAATAAATATTTTAAAAAATTATTCATATAATTAAATATATATTATTAAAAAAATATATAATTTTTTTTATAAAATAAATTATTGACTGACATGTTAACCTGTCTTTAGCGGAAAGAATTAAGGTTTGTAACATAATGATTATAATTGATCAGCTAACCGTCCCATTTTTTGCGGATTGAAGACGGATTGAACCAAGAGAGAATAGATTGACTCGATCCAAGATTGCAAATTCTCGTTAAACTCACTCATTTTTTCTTTTTCTTTTTTTTTCATCCTAAAAAAGCTGTTGAGTTGTTCAAACCACTTTAAATACATTAATTATTTCAATATTTTAAATAAATATATTATTTTAAAGTATATTTATAATTTCATAAATTTCAAATGAACATTTCAATTTTTCAAATCAAAACGAAAGTATACTGGAAACAAATCCAAATTTTATTGGAGTTCAATTCAATTCAGTAGCAATATATAATGTTTAGGACAATTCTTTTTCTAGTTTCACCTTACATTCCAACAGTTTTCCAAAGATACGTGAAAGATTAAAGAAACTAATTGAATTTAAAAATAAATCAAAATGTGGGATTTAATTAAAAATAACGGTTAGATATTATTTAGATATTATTTGATATTGTTAGGATATTGTTAAATATTGTTAACCACAATATCAAACAATATCTTCTGTTTATTCTGTTACTTTCAGTTACTCTTTTAGTTGTATCTCTCTACTATAAATAGACTACCCTATGTGTGGTTTATACACAAGGGAGATTAATCTCAAACTTTATTTCTTCTATATTCAACATGGTATCAGAGCCAAAAGCCTAACATCTTTCGGTTATTGTCATGGGCCAAAAGTTGTCCTTTAATTGGGTCAAAAATACTCTTTGTCTAGTCCGGCAGACTTTGTTGGAGGGGGCATGTTGAAAGTCTCACATCGCCTACCTCATATCATTTGGTATGGTTTAAATACATGTTAGGTTACTCCACATATTGCCAATTGGTTTTATGTTGGAACCTTAACATGGTATGGTTTAAATTCATGCTCTTTTTCATGAGTTCAATGAGTTATTGTCTCCTTCCCCCGACCCTGCCACCGAGATAGGACAATGATCAAAGTTCTTTATGCTAGGGGCATTACACGGACTTGTTGATCAATATTCACATATTCGTTATCAGATTTTGGGTTCTCCGGTTGTCCCCACCTTGACATCGACCTGCTCTACTCTTTTGCGTATACCAGCAAAACTCAATCCTGACACACCTGCTTCTACATTGGTATCTCACCGTGATGACCGAACTCGTCCTCGCAAACAGGGAAAAGGGCGTCCTAAGTGTGAACATTGTGGCAAGCTAGGTCACAAGATTGACAAGTGTTATGCATTACATGGTCGTCCTCCTCGACCTGCTGCAGTTGCTCAGACTGATTTTTTCCCACCTTTATCTGTTAAGGATCCTCCTTCTTCTATTTCATCAGGCACACCTGCTATGTTCAACAAATTTCTCAAATGGTATAAGGATCAACAGTCTTCTAGTTCCACTCGTGTCTCGTCGCACATACGAGTACATCTTTTGCTCGGTCCGACCCCATCTTCTTCCGGTCCTTGGGTTTTTGATTCAGGAGCCACTGATCATATTACTTGTAACAAATCTTTGTTCTCCTCTTTATCCTCTCCTGATCCTTTATCTTTTGTTACACTCGGCATCATCTCATGGTGTTGGAACTCGTTAAATTTTTCCCTTCTTTAACCATTGATAATGTTCTTTATGTCCCCGGGTCTCCTTTTAACCTCGTTATCCATCGATCGTCTAACTCGTTCTCTTGATTGTGTTGTTTCTTTTACCAACAATTCTTGTGTTTACGGGACCGGAGTTCGAAACAGGTGTTTGGCACGAGATGTGAGTCTCATGGTCTTTATCATCTTCGTCCCTTTACACATGTTGGTGCAGTTATAGAGTCTCCCTCTCTTCTCCATGCTCAGTTAGGTCATCCAAGTCTTGCCAAGTTACAACAATTTGTCCCTGCCTTATCTAAATTGTCTAGTTTGACATGTGAGTCGTGTCAATTAGGCAAGCATAATCGTACTTCCTTTCCTCGTAGTGTCACATGTGGTGCTTCGTCCCCTTTTGTCGTGGTTCACTCTGACATTTGGGGACCTAGCCGCGTTAAGTCTACTTTAGGTTTTCAATACTTTGTTACTTTCATTGATGATTATTCCAGATGCACTTGGTTATTTTTTATGAAAAATCGTTCTCAATTATTTCATATCTTTCAAACTTTTTTCAATGAAATTCAAACTCAGTTCGGTGTTTCTATTAGAGTTTTGCGCAGTGATAATGGTCGTGAATATCTTTCTCATTCTTTTAAACAATTCATGGCTTCTCATGGTATTTTGCATCAAACTTCTTGTGCTTATACACCTCAACAAAATGGTATCGCTGAACGTAAAAATAGACATCTTATTGAAACAACTCGTACTCTTTTAATTCATGGAGAGGTTCCTCAGCATTTTTGGGGTGATGCTCTTCTTACTGCATGTTATCTTGTTAACCGCATGCCATCTTCAGTTTTAGATAATAAAATACCTCATTCCATTTTATTCCCTCATGAACCACTTCATCCTTACCTCTAAAAGTTTTCGGGTCTACATGTTTTGTTCATAATTTCAGTTCTGGTCTTGACAAGCTTTCTCCTAGATCACATAAATGTGTTTTCTCAGGGTTTACAAGATCACAAAAAGGATACAAATGTTTTTCTCCTTCTCTTAACCGTTATTTTGTGTCTGTAGATGTCACCTTTGATGAATTCTCTTTTTATTTTAAAAGTCAATCTTCACCTCTGTCTCCATCCAATCTTGTCAACACTCCTAGTACATTTAATGTTCCTGTTATTTGTGACTCTCTAACTGTGTCTTCTTCACCATTAGTTTCCATTCCGCAATCAGCTTCTTCTTCACTGCCTCTTCAGGTTTATAGTTGTCGAAACCAATCACAACCACCACCATGTGACTCTACTCAAGTGCCAACTACTCTGTCTCCTCCGGATGTGACACCTGAGTCTGACCTTCCCATTGCCCTCCAAAAAGGTATCTGTTCTACACATAATCCCTCTCCCCATTATATTGGTTTGA